AGAACAGATAACTACAACTACTTGTTTTCTCCTGCAGTGTGCAATCATGGGAAGGTGTTGGCTGTGCTTTAGAGCAGACTTTCCCAAGCTTTGATCCTCAGATCATGTTGGATTACAAAGCCCATCATCCTTGACCATTGGCTGTGCTTGCTGGGGCTGATGGAAGTTGTAGTTCAGCAACATCTTGACCCAAGGTGGAGAGAGGCTGCTGTAGAGTGTGATTTTAGGGTTCACAAGGCAACAGTGAAGTCTAAGAAGCCTGGCCAGTTTCTGTGTCTTGGAAAATTACCCAGGATCCTCTACAATATACAGTGTCATGTGGCAGGAACACAGGAATTCTTTGGAAGCCAAGGCAACACGAAAGGAATTCCTTGAAGGTAGAAAGTTTGAAAGCCCAAGGTGTAGCAAGGTATCAAAGCTTTGAGTTCCACAGAAAACTTTTGCGGCAAGCCTATAAACCAGTTCATTTAATGGGCATCATTTAATTTGTCTGCATCAGGCTTGCCACTGACACAGGGTGGTATTAAGGCAACAGTGATTTTGGCAAATGGTCCCCCCTTTTAGTATAGCTATGACACAGAGTAAAGATGTAAGAGGAGGAAGAACTGGGGGAGGGTCTTGTAAACAAAAATTGCCCTTTTCCCTTACGGGGTATCCAAGAGCCCATATAGAGTCCTTACGTAGGTTCCCTATTGGTAGGAGAAAATAACAGAGGCCAACCAGAGACTATTGAGAAGCAAAGCAGCTAGTAAGCCTGATCTTTATTGATCTGATGCAACAGGGTGCTCCCCTCACACGCAGGAAAGGAGGAGGAACCCAGAACAATGGTGCGCAAGGCCTTATATGGACTTTTGAAATTGACACCCTGTAGATCAAGACCACCCCCAGAAACATCATACATACATCACAGAAGGGGTGTAACCTAAGACCACCCCTCAGATACATCATACCTACATCACAGAAAAGGCGGTCTAAAACAGAAATTTGAATGTTGTTTTTCTCCTGTCGTGGTTTATCTCCTGTCTGGCAGGTTACTTGATTGGATTGCCTGGGGAGCCTGGCCAGTCTTTTGTAATGATAAATACTTAGTTCCTGGGCCATGTCACAGGCTCACACCCTATTCATATCTTAAATGTGCCCTTAAGACAGGATTTGTGAGGAAAGAGACAATGGGGAGGTTTACCACTTTGACCTTGCAGAGAAATAATTTGCACAGTTTGGGAATCAAAATGGTTTCAGGTCGGTCTTCCTGTGCTGATCTATGTACGTGCTTGGTTGGTACACTTATGAACATTACCATATATCTAAGACCTCAAAATTCCTAGCACAAGGGAAAAGATCAACTTGCTGCCCTGCATCACTAGTATTAACCTTGTTATTTCTCTTCAAAGGTCTTGTCAATAACACTGGGATCGACTGGTTCTTGCCCTGGCCACCTCAGGCTCTAGATGCTGTTGCTAATTTCTTTTTGGGTATGTAAACATTTTTGAAGCAAGAGGTTAATGGGCATGTAATTGAAGGAAACATATTCTTCCCCGTGCCTTAATTTCCCCCTTCCTTTACTGTTTTCCTATTCCTTGTTTAACTTATGACCTGCTATAGCTCTTTTTATCTCTTCTCCCAGTGCTGTTACTTATGGAGGAAGGAAGCAAATACCTTTCCCTTCGTTTTCCTCTGTGAGGCCAAAAGCAGCTTGGGGTGGAGAGGCACTTGATTTTGGAGGTGAAAAACTGGAAGAGAATAAAGGGTTACGACACCTTATCTTCCACCCATAGCCTCCACCAATCTTCTATTGGAGATTGCAGCCTGAGAAACTACTTTAATTAAAGAAAAAAGAAAACACTGGAGAGGAGGGAACTACTCATGATTAATTGTGTGGGTTCATCTTAAGTGAAATGCACCTTTGATATGACAGAGACTAGTATTTCTTAATTTCTTTGAGCCAGAAAGACCAATAACAACTTGTGTGTCTCTCTACTGCGTTTGTGTGTGGCAACACTGACCTCCAGCATCTACTCTGTTCGCCTTCTGTACTTTGCAGGTAAGCATGTTTTTTCTCTCTTTCCCAGGGAACAACCCACTGATCCCATCTGAAAAAACTGAGGCAGTCATTGAACACAGTGTCATGGTCCATGGTTCAGTGGGGCTCTACAGCAAAAGATTTCAGCAGAAACTCAGACGGAGCAACTACGTCACCCCCAAAAATTATCTTGATTTCATCAACACCTACTGCAAACTGCTGGATGAAAAGAATCAGTTCATTTGGGGTAACATCTGTGTTCTTACGAAGTTTTGCAAATCTCATACAAAATATTGTGCAAAGTCAGTTCTGTGCATGGCCTAAGGCTGCAATCATAACTGCACTTACTTGGGAGTAAGCTCCATTGAATTCAGTAGGACTGTACTGTAAATTACATAAATTAAGAGCAAACACATTGTTTTACATGTGCAGCCAGGACAGCCACATCTTATTTCTCCTCCTCTTTCCCAAAGCTCAGTGCAAACGACTGGAGGGTGGTTTAGACAAACTTAAAGAAGCTACAGTTCAGCTGGATGAGCTCAACCTGAAGCTTGCTGAGCAAAGGATTGTGCTGGCAGAGAAATCAGCGGCCTGTGAAGCCTTATTACAGGAGATTGCAACTAACACAGCAATTGGCAAGTGTTTCTTACAGTCATAATTCACTCAGGTTTAGAGGACTTACCCCACAAACTAAACTGGGCTCTCTTGGGTGGCTCTCTTTTTATTCATTTTTATTCCCTGGCAGATCACAGGCTGCTAAGCCTAGAAATTCTCATGTGCTGAGCCAATTTAGGATTGTGTGTTCTATTACTGCATCTTTCTAAATTTGCATTTATAAGTTGTTGTTTCTCCAAAGATGGATCAAGTCCCAAAGAATTTCTTGCTTTTTTGATTTTTGGTTGTGGGGAGAGGAAGAATCATTCAGTACCTTTAGGAAGAACCCTAACTAAATTTACCAGTAACCTTTCATTAGAGGAGTTAAATGCATCACTGATTCAACCTACAATGGGGTCTGGTTTTATTTGATGAGTCAAGAAAACCAACTGAAACTGTAACACTTCCTTCCATGTATGGCACACTGTGGTCTGAACTGCTGGGATGATGAAGAAGAAAACTTTGCAAGGACATTATTTGAAATAATCTCTATCAAATTCATCTGAATAACACACCCCACACGGTAGTGTTGTTACATGATCCCCCTCCCTCCCACAACTGAAGCGATGGTTTTAGAAAAGCCATCATTGGAACAGTGGCGTTGCAGCGGGGGTGGGTGGGGCGTGCGGTGCGCCCCGGGTGCCATGTCTGGGGGTGTTTGACAAGAAGGCTTCCATTGCACCGCCGCAGTCACATGTGGAGGATCGTCCGTTGACGGCTGCAGCTGCGAGCAGAGGATCCCGGTGCTGGCGGCAAACCGCTATGTACAGTGCATGTGTGGTGCTGCACGCATGAACTGTACATAATGGCTCCGCACATGCGCTGTACATAGCAGTTTGCCGCTGGTGCCGCTCGAGCGCCGTACGGACGGCGGTGGGATCCCTCCAGTGCCGCTACAGCCGCATGTAGAAGATCCTCTGTTCGCGGCTGCAGCCACGAGCAGAGGATCCCAGGACCGTCTGCATGGGGCTGGAGCACCACTGCTGCCAAACCACTATGTACAGCGCATGTGTGGTGTCACTACTTATGGCGCATGCATCGTACCTAGCGACGGCACACATGCATCCTACGTAGCGATGCCCTGCCCCAGGTGTCACGTCGCCTTCGTTCACCCCTGCATTGGAATTCAAATGTTGTTGGACTACAACCCAGCAATGCCAAAAGCTTCCCCTTGCCTGCATTGTAAAAGTGCATCAGTATTGTAGCAGTGTTGAAGAAGCTGATGCCAGTTCTGAGGAGTAATTTTTCAATCATCCTTGTCCTACATATTAGCTGAGGAGAAGAAAAAGCTGGCTGTGGAAAAAGCCATAGAAATAGAAGAGCAGAACAAAGTCATTGCAGTGGAGAAGAAGGACGCCGAAACAGCCCTGGCAGAAGCCATGCCCATCTTGGAGGCCGCAAAACTAGAACTTCAGAAGCTTGACAAATCTGATGTCACTGAGATCAGGTACTTGAACTACGGCCGTCCTGGCACAGGAAATGACTTTACACAGAAATGTCCATTGCTCATCATAAGCGCTCACACCAGCTCTAATACCAATTTTGTATCCATATTGCACCTATTTAAAGTTTGCTTACCATCTGTTTCCAATCACATTGTAGGAGACAATGTCCAGTTGAGTTATATCCTCTCCTTGGGGACAGAGGACTAGTTGCCTTCAGTAGCTAAAGGGGAGACAGATTACACACGGCCCTCCAGCTCACCAGCTGCCTACAACTCACCAGCAACTAGGGGCATGTGGTTTTCTTGGGGTTTTCTCTCCCTCCACTCTCTTTTCCAATATATTTCTTTTTGTGTCTAGGTCGGGGGGTGGGGGTGGAATTAACCTGTGGCTCTCTCTACTCCCAGCACTAGTCAGCATGACCAATAGCCAGGAAGATAAGAGCTATAGTCAAGCAGCATCTGAAGGGCCACAGGTTAACCACTCTTGGTCTAGGCTGCTGAACCCAAGCTCTATCCTTCACATTTAAATATTTTAATTCCTGTTACTTTTGGCAGAAATGTTATCCGATTCTCATCTTTGGCAGGTGGGAGGAAGGCAGAGAGCTTTCCCCTCCTTTCCTGTCAGTTTGATGGGTAAGCCAGCCTTGTTGAAAACCACACGTGATGTGGGGTTTTTGGAAAATGAAGGAACAAAAAACATGAAAACATAAGCACAAAGAATTTGACTAGAGTTCTTTGCAGGCTGTCAAAGAGTGTGTCCAGTTGGTCTGTGCTACTCAGAGGCAGGCTTGAGCTCCCCCTTGGCCATTCCCAGCCTAGCCCAGTGCAGCTCAGTTAAGGTCTTCCGAGACTCGACATTTCAAGGAGGGAGAAAATCTGTAAGCAATTGGCTGGATAGTTCCATCGGTAAAAGCATGAGACTTTTAATCTCAGGGTTGTGGGTTTGAGCCCCACATTGGGCAAAAAGATTTCTGTATTGCAGGGGCCTTGACTAGATGACCCCAGGGGTTCCTTCCAACTCTGAAATTCTGTGATCTATGATCTATGAGTATTGTTTGCCCTAATATTTATTTTTGCATTTCAGGTCCTTTGCTAAGCCCCCTAAGCAGGTGCAGACTGTTTGCGAGTGCATCCTTATCATGAGAGGCTACAAAGAACTCAACTGGAAGACAGCCAAAGGAATGATGTCAGAGGCCAACTTCCTACGCTCCCTTATGGAAATCGATTTTGATTCGATTAATCAGAGTCAAGTGAAATCCGTCCGAGGTAAATTGCTAAGCGGCAGAATTAATTGTACCCTTGAAACTGCATTTTACAGTCTGATACTGCAAATGTCACACAGTCTTCTTTTCAGGGATTCATATATTTAAGGAAGAAGGTCCATAGTTGTATATGGCACTTCTTGTTTCTCAAAGTCAGGGCTGGTTCTTAGGGCAGCCCAGGTCACAGCAAACGTGCCTTGGCACTTACCTGCACCCCACAGGGTTATTGGTAATGGAAGAACCTCTGGGAAGCGAAAGAGCAGTCCACCAGAAACAGGCACTGGTGATTCCCGCCCCCTCTTCTCCAGTTGACTGTCCCCCATGCCCAGAGCCATTTGACACCAGCCTCCATGTGGACAGGGAGGGAGCAAACTACTCTTGCTACAGCTATGCTGGTTTTATTTTAGGTGTGTGGCTTTAATGTATCCACTGCATTCTATAAATCAGGGATGGGGAGCCTCCATACGCTGTTGGACCCCAGCTCCTGTCAGCCCCAGCCAGCTTAACCAATGGGCAGGGATGATGGGAGTCTGTCACGGTCCTGACAGGAGTGAGTGAGGAATTAACTCTTTGTTGTCAAAAGTACAAGATAGGGAAAGGCATGTCCATCAGTCCTACATCTCTCAGCTCCTCTTAGGTGTGCATCTGATGAGGCAGCTGATGCAACAGAGAGGCCCTGCCCCTAACCTCACTTAATGTATCCCCCCACACCTGAGCTGTGTTCTGTTCCTCCCACTTCAATCCTCTTCTGATCCTGGGAAATAAGTGTTTTAGCCTTAAAACTGTAAATTAACTCTGACATTTTAAATTGGAGGACTGCTAAAGAACTTGAACACAACCTTTGAAGAAATGGAAGTTGTCAGCAGAGCCGGTTTAGGGATGCTGAAATTTGTGGATGCTGTTATGAGCTACTGTGATGTAGCTAAGGAGGTCAAGCCAAAGAGAGAAAAGGTACAAGGGGAAAGCATGGAAGTGGCAGTAAACACAATGAGGGCCGGGATAAATGTGACTTGGGAGGAGGGATGGAGGAGGAATTTGATTCAGTTTGCACTTCAAGGCAAACATACCTAATTTGCATTTTCCGTAACAATATGCGAACAAATCACAGCCATCCTTTGAAATTTGCACTTCTCCAAAGTTTACATTGCAGTTTTCCAGCCAAGTAATGCATAGAAAAATGCATATATGAGGACTTCAAAAAAATAATAATCCACAAATTAATAGTGAAATATGGAGAACTGAACTTACAGGGAAGTTTTTAATGACTGATGTTTTAATGTATCTTTTGTTGGAAACCGCCCAGAGTGGTTGGGAAAACCCAGCCAGATGGATGAGGTAGAAATAACAACAACAACAACAACAACAACAACAACAACAACAACAACAACAGAAAAACATAAAATAGAAATTGACACGTTGCCCATCCCTATGTGGAATTTGCGTGATTGGCATTCCCAGTGTCTCTCTCTTTATTTATTTATTTTCAAAGTTCCAGGGGGTCTGATTTGGCACACCATGGCACCACTCTCCCCAGAATTGCTCTTGATAGCCATGAAAGGGAAACCAAACAGGCCTCTGCGCAACTATGTTGGGGTGTAATTTACACTAGGGAATCAGTACAGGGACACCATCCAGGCCACTGAGGCTCCAGATTGGACCCCATGTGTTGGATTTTTCATAGAATCATAGAATTGTAGAGTTGGAAGGGACCACGAGGGTCATCTAGTTCAACCCCCTGCAATTCAGGAATCTTTTGCCCAACATGGGGCCTGAACCCACAACCCTGAGATTAAAAGTCTCATGCTCTGTCAACTGAGCTATCCCAGCTGCTTTTGAGGGGTTAGTTCCTGAAACCTTTCACAGAGGTACCATGGGCACATGCTCTATTGTCTATGTTGAGAGCTTTAGTCACACATTAAATCTAGCATGGTGCTGTTTTGAGGGGATTACCAGAAGCTACATATCCAAAGAGTTTTGAAAAATGTTTTAGGGACTATACCACCATAGCTAAAGGGTGAAACATGTCTTCTTTTTCACCTGCACCACAAACATGTGCTTATTTTATACCAATTTACTTGCCATACTTTCTCTCAGAGAAGTCTGGGAATTGTTGTTTGGTGAGGATGTTGATAATTTCTGTTAGAGATCCTTTTCCTTGCCTCACTTGCCTTCTTTTTGTGGTGCTCTGTAATGCCTATTGTTACTGGCCGCCCCAATCTCTTTTGAGTGATGCAAAATTCCAAAGATCTAGACACTTAATCAGGGTTTGTATTTCTGTTGGATAATTAGGCATAAGGAAGACTGTAGTGTCTTTATGATTTATTGTTCACTTACACATATTTATAGCTAAGTCTTGATGGAGAGACGGTTCCAAGCATCACATCTCAAGAGAGGCTTGCTCCCCATAGCAGCACAGCATTGGATTCAAAGACAACCAAAACACCATCTTTGTGTCTCCTCCACACAGCTTCTCTCTCTGTCAGTCTGCATGGCACCTGGCCCTACCTTTCTACTTTCCCAAAACTTTTGCTAAAACATAACATAATCCCCATGTAAAAGTACACTTTCTGTGGTGACATCACACCTCTTGTAACCTGGGCAACCTCCCCCTCCCAACTCTGCTATTGCCTTTTGGTACCTAACACACAGCTGGGGATGGAATCCAACCCCCCTTCTTGTCTGAGACTGAATGTCCCAACCTTCGTCAGTGTAATGACTCTGCCATCACCTGTTTTGTTCTTTGATAGAATCTCTCTCAGCTAATCTCCTGAGGAAGCTGTCTTGACTTATGTTTTAGGCCTTGCTAAATCCACTGATCCAACCCCACATTTACTAATTTCAGAAATAATGGGGAGAACCTGGCACCAAGGAATTTTAGGGGACCCTTCCCCCCTGCAAAGCCATAACAATATTTTATGGATTACATTAATCTATTGTTGTTGTGAAATGCATGCTGCAGTTTGTCCTGTGATTTAGCAACCCCGCACCCCAGTTTTTCAGTGATGGGCAGATAGAAGATCAGATGTTTTAGAAAGAGATGCTTCCTATGATTCCTTCTGAGCTTGCTATGCTAGTGAAGCAGCCTCCCCCCAAACTCCATATCCTGCTATTTTCATGCCATTCCAGCTGTACAGACAGCTCACCTGGAAGAGGCAGGCATCAAAGTGCTGAAAGTTGGAGAAACTATTGGATGTGGTCAGGGGCAGATTGTCCCCATGGAAATCAGCTGGGCCTTGAATGTTTTGCAAAGCTTTTCGAAGTGGGCTGATGGTTGAGGGCTGCTGTATCTTTGAGCTGCTGCCTTATTCAGCTGATTGTCCTCCACACAGGTGGCCAGACTGGAACGGAATTTCTTCTTAAGTAAACGTGAACTGGAGAAGATCCAGAATGAGCTGACAGCCATCCAGAATGAGCTGAAAGCTCTGGGAGATAAGTACGAGGCAGCCATAAGGGAAAAACAGCAGCTTCAGGAAGAAGCTGAACTTATGGAACGGCGTCTTATTGCTGCTGACAAACTTATCTCAGGATTGGGATCTGAAAATATAAGGCAAGTGAGGCTTCTCTGAAGGGGCCAAGTACATTATAGTCAGCACCATTAATTCTCTATTGAATGTTTAGAGTGGAAATTGGAGGGGAGGTTTAGCAACACCTTTTTGCATATTTTGGGGGAGGGAAAATATCTAGTAAATCTGTAGAACTGCAGCCTACTAAGAGAAACAGTTTTCTCTCTCCATCTTTTCTTAGGGATGGGGAGGAATTTCATCAAGTCTACCTTTAAAGGTGAGACTACCTACCGGTAATCAGCCTTTCCAAAAAAGCATGTAAAACAAAACACAGCCACCTTCAAAATTTGCATTTATTTGAATTTTGCAATGCAGCTCTCCAGCCAACCAATCTGCACAAAAATACTTATAGTAGGGTAGTGTGTGTATAGAAATGCATATATTTGTGAAAATAACATACAAAAATGCATTAGAGGAAATTGTAAATGTGTATATCAGGCAAAATTTCATGCAAAAATGTGTTTATTAGGAGAGGTTTGCTGATGAATTTTCCTGAGGACTTTTAAAAAAAATTCACAAACTGCTGTGGAAGTATGGAGAAACTGAGAGAAACTAAAACTGACAGATTCAATCATCCCTAATATGTTGTCTGTAGTTGTTGATTTCAAATATAGTTCTGCTATTGTTACAGGTGGTGCCTTTTGGTGTCTATTGGTTACTTGGCAGCTGCCATTTCCCCCATAATGTCTCCCTGCCCCATTTTTATTCAATAAGCCAGGAGAAGATGGTGTTAATGATGGAGGAAATGATACCTGCAGTTCTCCACAACCATCATAGTTCCCACACATTAGTAGAAATGACACCCTGATGCATGTTACTAAAATTTCTCTCTCAACCAGACAGGATTGCCAAAATGGCTTCCCAAATTTGTCATCCCAAAAGAGGGGAGTTTTACCTTAGCTGTGCCAGCGACTGCATAGATTGCTGTTTCTAGCTGCACAGCTTGTAGAAGCTGCCTACAATTCACCCCTGCTACACAAAGCTGTCTCCTACCATGGAGAAACCTATCCTGAAGATAGGTTGTTTTTTTCCTGCTTGTTCAACTAGTTAAGCCATGTCAGTCAATCAATGCAGATTGTTAAGTTTTCTCCTGAACCTCTCAGTGACTTTTGATGTCATCAACCGTGGTATCTTTCTGGGTTGTCTTGCTGGGCTGCACTAGCCTTTGAGTCTTTTCTGAGAAAATGGACTCAGTGGTCGGTGAGAAGGGATTTTTGCTTTGCCTTGTGGTCTTTGGTGCTGCACATTCTGTTCTGTTCCCACACTTTTTAATATCAGCATGAAACTAGTGGAGGAAGTATCCCAGAATTGTGGGCTGCAGTGTCATCCAATAGTGGCTGGCAGGGTGGGCTGGGCTGTGTTGCTCTCCCAGTAAGTGTTCCTGCTGCTTACTGCGAGGGGCAAGGCAACAGGGATCTTGGTAAGGTGCAGTCTTCGTTGGATTAATTCAATTATTATTAATCTACTAGAGGAGCTCTGTTTTCCTTCATTTTTGGCCAGGTGGATGAATGATTTGGAAGAATTAAAGAAACGACAAGTGAAACTGTTGGGAGACTGCCTGCTATGTGCCGCCTTCCTGAGCTACGAAGGTGCCTTTACCTGGGAGTTTCGTGACGAGATGATTAAGGATGTTTGGCAATCAGATATCCATGAGCGAGATATTCCTCTCAGCAAGCCTTTCAGATTAGAAAACCTGCTGACTGATGACGTTGAGATTAGCAGGTAGGGATGGGCCTGTTCCTTTTATGTCACAGTTTTAACATCTCTGTGGTTTCCACAGGATCTTCCTGCCAATGGGCTTCAGAGCCAAGGCCAAACCACCTTTCAGTTGATGATTTGCTCCCTCCACAGCATATTACGCACCCTTTCATTCAGCGGCTATTTTATCCCCCTGACTAGAGTCCGTAGGGTCCCTTGTGCCATTGGCAAGGAGCTGTATTGACACCGCTCTCCAGAAAAAAATCACTTTACCACAATAGCCACATTAGAAATTACTACGTTTTACACGATCCAAGTATTCAAAGCATCTGGAGGGAGGGTGAGGTGAGGATGAAAGGTTGGGAGGGGGGAATTGCATGTCTTTGTATCATAGTTCACTCACAGCGATTTCAAAACAGACAATTAGGGTGACGTTGGCAGTGAAGCTTTTGCTTAACTGACCCCAACAAACCGTTTCCAAAACAAGGTGACTAAGGGTCTTCAAGCATGGCAGTTTAAATTGGGCCTTTGTGGCAGTTTTAGTTTGGTGAAGAAAGGACCCTAGGGAGTGTGCAACTGTGTGTGTGTAACCCCACTTTATAATAAGCACTTCTCCACCTCTTTCCCTTCTCTCTTCATCATCTGGGACTGGGGATGCAGATGGGAGAGGCGTCCAGGGTCTTCCGGACTCAACCCAGCTGGCTGGTCTTCCCAAGCTCTCAGGGCTGCTGCTCCCTGGCACACAATTCAGCTTGATGGAAGCTGTGGATGGGGAGGGGAGCCAAGACTGCCAAGGCTGCAGAAGGGCAGGCTGGCCAAATGGTGAAGCCCAAACAACAAATTGGGGAGGGCGGGAAAGGGAGCCAAGCAGCAGATGGGAGAGGGTTCACTGTGGGCTCCGTCCCTCAAGAGGCGCTAAACACTTCCCTGAAAGAGAAGGAAGGTGGGCTGTGTAAAGGGGAAAGGACCGAGGCTCAGAGGCATACCACACACAGTGATTTCTGGGTGATTTTTGTGCCTCCTCAGGGCCTATGGTTTCACCAACTCTGAGGTACGTCTCTGCCCCTGACATAGCTCAAGCACACACAAACATTCACACTCATTTTTTCAGCTGACGGGTTCTCTTTTGCCATACAAAAATGGCTTCCCTTGATTGCTCTAATTTCAGGTGGGGGTCTCAAGGTCTACCTCCTGATGAGCTCTCGGTTCAAAATGGCATTCTCACCACACGGGCCAGCCGTTTCCCGCTATGTATTGACCCACAGCAACAAGCGTTAAATTGGATCAAGAGGAAAGAAGAAAGAAATAACCTCAGGGTAAGGCTAATTTTTTCACTTAAAAGGAAATTACACAGCTCAAAACCTTTCCATATTACTGGAAATTGGCCAGTGAACCACCCTGGAGAATAAGGGACAGACTGATTAAGGCCAACAGAACACTTTAAGGTAGACTTAGAAGAGGGATCATCAACCCAGCAGCCATGGGCACCAGGTGGGTGGCCTAGGGCAGTCTTAATTTTAGAAAACAAATTTTAGATTATTTCATTTTTGGTGTGTGTGTGCTTCC